CAGGAGATCCACAAGGCCAGCAGGCCGCGTCTTGCTAGGAAGCCAGTTCCAGTGCATCATGAAGTGGCCAGCAGTGACGAGGCATCCTCCAGTGAAGACAATGACGTGCACCAAACAAAGCGGGAGCGCGGGAAGTTCAAACAGAAGTCCAAGGGCCAATCGGAATGTGCCGGCTGTGGAGGCAACCATTCCCGTGCCAAGTGTCAATTCAGAGACGCCATCTGTCGGAAATGTTCCAGAAGGGGCCACATCGCTAAGGTCTGCCGATTGGCTCTGTCCAACACCCCCCCCCCTTCACTGACTCACAAGTCCAATCTTCACTCCAGTGCGCCAAGGAAAGCTCATCCGCCAAGGAAAGCTGTTTCGCTCTCATCAACTGCCACTGCCCGTCCGGAACCATGATTGGCCAAACAGACTCACCTGCGCGACGCAAGCTGAATGTCAACTGTGCTCATTGAAGGAGCTCCGTGAGACATGGAGATCGACACCGGGTCTGCCCTGTCCATCGTGTCTTGGAGCACCATCAAAAGACTGGTACCCAGAGTGTCCAAAAGGCAACTTGACTCTCACCGCATACACCTGAGAGACTACCAGGGAAACGACATTCCCGTGGTAGGCGTTGGCCGGTTCCAGATTGCCTTCAAGGATTTTTCGGGCCTGCTCCGACTGGTGGTGGTTGAAGGTCAGCGGCCAAGCCTCCTAGGGCTAGACTGGTTTGATGCCCTCGGCCTGGAAGTCATCGGCATCAACTCCATCTCTAACACAGAGACTGAGGGTCTGATCAAAGACTTTGCTGAGGTTTTTGACGGCACTTTGGGTCAATATACAGGTACACCCATCTCCTTTAGCCTTGATCCACAAGTCACCCCCATCAAGCTAAAGCCATGCTGGGTTCCATTTGCTCTCAAGGCTAAGGTGGACGAACAACTGGACAAGCTGATTGCCCAAGGAGTTTTGGAGCTGGTTGACCATGCCAAGTGGGAAACCCCCATCGTCACGCCTGTCAAGCCAGACGGGTCGGTGAGAATCTGTGCCGACTACAAGTGCATGATCAACAAAGCACTTCAGCAGCACGCTTACCCGGTTCCTGTTGTCCACCATCTGCTGCATTCCCTGGTGGAGGGTAGGGTCTTCACTAAGCTGGACCTTGCCCAAGCCTATCAACAACTGCCCGTTGACGATGCCACCGCTGAAGCCCAGGCGATTGTCACCCACCGAGGGGCATTTCATTGCCACCGTTTGCAGTTCAGGGTGAGTGTGGCTCCTGGCATCTTCCAAAGCCTTATGGAGCGTCTCCTGCAACGGCTTCCGGGCATGGTGCTGTATTTCAATGACATCTTGGTGTCCACAGGCTCGCACCAGCAGCTGTTCAAGCGCCTCCGCGCCGTGCTGACCAGGTTTCATGAGGCTGGGCTCAAGGTAAAGAAGGAGAAGTGCCAGATCGCTGTTCCACAGGTGGAGTTCCTGGGCTATCTTATCGACGCCTTCACCCGGCAACGTCCAAGATCCACGCTATCCAGCAGGCCCCCATCCCAAAGAATAAGATGGAGTTGCAGGCGTTACTGGGACTGCTGAACTTTTATAACATGTTCCGGCCCCACAAAGCGATGGTAGCCGAGCCTCTTCACCGACTCCTCAGCACGAAGACACCTTGGTCCTGGGGTCATCGGGAGAAAGCGGCCTTCAACATAGTCAAGGCTCTCCTTTCATCGGACAGTGTGCTGGTACAGTACAGTGAAGCCAGGCCGCTGGTCCTTACCTGCAACGCCTCACCTTTTGGCATCGGCGCTGTCCTCAGTCACCGTTTTTCAGACGGAAGAGAAGCACCGCTCACCTACTTTTCCAGGACGCTATCTCCGACCGGAGATTACGGAATTACAGCCAACTCGACAAGGAAGCACTGGCACTTGTGGCTGGAGTGAAGAGTTTCCATGAATACCTCTACGGCAGGACTTTCGACCTCATCACTGACCACAAGCCGCTCGTGGGTCTCCTCGTCGGTGATCGACCAACTCCACCGGTCCTCTTGCCGCGCATGCTGGACTGTTTTCCTGGCTGCCTACCACTACCAGCTCGTCCACTGCCCGGGGAAATCGATGGGCCATGCCGAGGCCCTCAGCCGTTGCTCTCTTCCAGTGTTTGTGGAAGACCCGGCTCCTGCTTCAGTTTCCTTCAGCCAGAGGGGTATTCAAACGTAGCCCTGCATTGTTACTGATGTTAATGCTTATTAGAAAATAAAAAGTCTTATAAAGTTTATATTTCTTGGTGGAAGGTGAAGAGGAGCCCCATATGCAGATGGGCTGAAGTGGACACATATGAATGTGAATTGTTCTACTGACCTTAAAATCTCAAGATATAAGTGGGGTATTTTTTTAAGCATTATATGTGTATTTACTTTTATTTATTATTATTATTATTATTATTAATAATAATAATAATAATAATTTTTTATTTATACCCCGCCCTCCCCAGCCAAGGCCGGGCTCAGAGTGGCTTACAAGCAATAATAAAAACAAGAAGAATGATTACAACTTAAAAACAAAAATAAAATACAGCATTAAAATAACGGAACATTAAAATTATTTATTTATTTAGTTGGAAAGGGATGACATTGCCAGGAGATCCTGTGACCAATTTGCTCCTGGGCTCCTCATAGTGTTAAAAATACCATCTTCCTGAATGGTGAGTAAAGGCTACTGACAGTCAGGGGAGGGCTCCATCTGGCCTGAACAGGCCAGAGGAGGTGACAAGGAAAACTAGAAAGATAAAGGTTAATATATTTAAAATAATAAACTGGGAATACTGTATAAAGAATTGGGGTAATTGGAGGTAACAGAAGAAATAGGGATAAAATAAGTTGGCAGTTTGTGTGGAAGATAAGATAGAAGTATGAAAAATGGGGAGAACTGGAAGCTCAATACCATTTGCATCTGGCACAGATTTCTTAATGGCTCATCACCTTCCTTTGCTCAATTAACAGCTCATACTTAGTGGCCATTATCAGGTTGAAAAGGCTACTGGATTGAGGATTCAGAGGGCTTGGTTAAATTCTAACCCTATACTGATTCTAGGAATTTAGGACAGCCCCCCCTCCCACAACAAAAACTATAAAAATACAAAACTCCATCAACCATTCTTCATAAGGCTTGGTGATGCCCAAAGTGATTTTACATCTTTATTAGTAAAACAGGATCACAGGCATAGACCCTTCCCCAAGCCTAAGAAGTCCAGAGGCAAGTTTAAAAGTCCCGGGAGCTTGCAGAAAGATTGCTTGGAGGGCCAGAGAATAGAGACTACCTTCAGAGAGTCATGTAGGGGGAGCTCAAGGAGAGATGAACAATGCTAAAACCTTAAATAGGTTTTCAGGGGTTCCAAAAGTGTGTCTAGACAAGTTGGCATGCTGGCCAATGAGAAGGGGTCAAAATGAGAGAATGTAGGTGTGCTTAGGCATAGTTTCTAGAGAGAAGACCACAGTAATGTAAAACAGATGTTTCTGATAAGAAGTCTGTTGGGCCACACAAACAAACAAGGATCACTCATCCTGAAGGCTGGTCCTCCTGAATAGCTTTATCTATCAGAAGGAGTGACTTCCTGATTCTATGGTTCTATCTGGTCTGCATCTACATTTCTATAGAATTTCTGGTTGGATTTCTTTTGAAGCCTACCTCCATAGCTCCATGAAGGGACTTTTAGATGCAAAAATCCTGCATATGGTGACCTTTTGTTTACCCTTCATTTTACCTTTTTAGCAATCTAGCTTCCTGGTGAGTAAATCAAGGAAATTTCTGGTTCCTCATGACCTCACTGGTAAGAAGGTAAAGCATAGAGAAATCAAACTATAAGACTGTGCATATTGTCAAGGTGGGATGGTCTTTTCTCATGGTTCTTTGCTTGAGCCAAAGATTAGATAGATATCTCCATCTGGAGATGTAAAACAAATGAGGGGAATTTCATACATATGTGGTGGACATGTGAGGGAATAAAAAAATTTTGGAATCAGATATATGATGAATTAAAAAAAATATTTAGACATACATTTCCCAAAAAACCAGAGGCCTTCTTACTAGGGATGGTTGGAAAAGAAATACCGGAAAAAGACAAAACCCTGTTCCAATACGCAACAGCTGCGGCTAGAATGCTAATTGCCCAAAATTGGAAAAACCCAACTTTACCAACGGTGAAAGATTGGCAACTGAAATTATATGATTTTATAGAATTGGCAAGATCGACGCAAAGAATAAGAAATCAAAAAAATACAAAGTTAAAAGAGGACTGGAATAAATTTATGGTATATATCGAAGGCAATTTTATTAACTTACCAACTACAGTAGGTTTGATCTAAATCTTCCGATGTTATAAACTAAAAACCAATACCAGCTGCAAGACGAAACTATTAAAAGTAGAAATCCGAAATCAGGAGGGAAGGAAGTTGGTGTTAGTAAATTGTGGTATGTGTTTTTTCTGTTTCTTTTTTTCTTTTTCTTTCTTTATCTCTTTTCTCTGTATGTAATGTCTTTTTAATGTTTAATGTTTCTCTTTGGCTGTGTTTCTGTGGATGTGTATGATGAAGAAAACACAATAAAAAGCATTTGTAAAAAAAAACACAAAAAACAAAGATTAGATAGATAGATAGATAGATGATAGATGAGACATAAATGCCATATAGAAAGGTTAGCCTAATAAAAGTATTGCCCAACTAGGGTTGCCACTGAAGATCAGTGACTTCAAAGCAATCTATTGCAGCCTAACAGGATGCCCCCTTTGGAATTTGTCTCACACTCACATACACACATGAATTTGTATATCTTTCTGTGCTTGGCTACCCAGAGCTTAAATACATGACCTTTCACACTCCTTTTCAAACACATGCATTTGGAGAGAATCCCCAACTTGGCAAAGAGAGAGAGAGAGAGAGACCTGAAATGCAGGCCAAAGCTGTTATCAATACAGGACATAGCATTTTGCATTGAAATGCTGGACGACCCTGTATTATACAGGACAGGTGGCAACCCTAGGCCCAACTGTGGGTTTGGGATTGATTGATTGATTGATTGATTGATTGTGGGCTAACTTGGGCTCATTGAACGGGTTGCAATTTCACACTGGAACTTTCTCTGAACCTCCTCCGTCCAGGAGCGGCCACTGCGCGCCATCCGGCTGCCCGCTGCGCCAAGCGGGATGCTCTGAACAACGCACTTCCAGGCGAGCGCGACCTGCCCCGCATTCGAAAGCACCGCTGGGGACACCGTAGAGGAAGGCAGGGCCCAGATCCCGACAGCCGGTCTGTGGCGGTGCATGCTGGGAGTTGTAGTTTCAGACGCACGCTTTCCTCTCCTAAGGCGACCGGAGGGGTTTGAAAGGCAGCGTCCGAGCCGCTGTATTCCCCCCCCCCCACCAGGAAGCGGACGAGGCCCTCCTCGCTGGCCCGGGATGCCGGCGCCCGTGCTCTGCGCGAGTTGCGGGTCCCGGCGCGCCGCGCTCCGCCGCCCCAAGACGGGCCAGGCGCTGTGCCGGGAGTGCTTCGTGGCGGCCTTCGAGGCGGAGGTGCACGGCACCGTGGTGTCGGCGCGGCTCTTCCAGCCGGGCGAGACGGTGGCCATCGGGGCGTCGGGGGGCAAGGACTCCACGGTGCTGGCGCACGTGCTGCGGCTGCTCAACGAGCGCCACGGCTACGGCCTGCGCCTGCTGCTGCTCTCGGTGGACGAGGGCATCGCCGGCTACCGGGACGACTCGCTGGCCGCCGTGCGCCGCAGCCAGGGCAGCCTGGGGCTGCCGCTGCACGTGGTCTCCTACCAGGAGCTCTACGGCTGGAGCATGGACCGCATCGTCCGCCACGTCGGCCTCAAGAACAACTGCACCTTCTGCGGGGTCTTCCGGCGGCAGGCGCTGGACCGAGGCGCCGCCTTGCTCGGGGCTGACAAGATCGCCACAGGTGAGGGGACTGGGGGTGGTTAGGGCGGCCGGGTTGGGGCGCTCCGGGTGCGGTGGGGCTCCCGACGTCCATCAGCGCCGGCCGGTGTGCTCAGCCGTCTGGGATGATGGGGTCTGTCGCCCGACAGCACCCGGAGGGCCACGGCTTACCCATCTCCGTCTAAAGAGCTTCTGAGCAACTGCAGAGGGCACGGCAACAACGAAGCTCTTGTGGGGCCACAACCTTAACTCAGGAATACATAACTATTTATTGGGAGCACTTTTACTCCCCCGTTTCAAGTTAGAGACTTCTAAGTCATAGAATTGTAGAGTTGGAAGGGACTTCCGGGGTCATCTGGTCCAGCCCCCTGCAAATGCAGGAATCTCCATTAAAAGCATCCATGACAGATGGCCGTTCAAACTCTGTTTAAAAACCTCCAAGGAAGGAGAGTTCACCACCTTCCAACAGAGCCCATTCCATTGTCAGGACAGCTCTTACCATCAGACAGTTCTACCTGATGTTTAGTCAAAATCTCCTTTCCTGTAACTTGAATTCATTGGTATGGGTTCTGCCGTCCAGGGCATGAGAAAAAAAGCTTGCCCCATCCTCCTTGTGAGAAGCCCTTTAGATATTTGAGAAAAAGGGTCCCTGAAACAGTTGCAAATATTATTAGTATTATAATAATATATTCTTTCCCCCCCTTTCTAATATTTTATTTTACGTTCTTCCATTTTACAGTATTCAACAATAAATATAAATCCACACAAATCCAATAATATTTTCTGCAACTTCCCTACCTCCCCTTCTGCAGTTTCTTATTTTTCTATCAGATTCTCACTACATATCTTAATTTATCCTTTTTAATTCCCTTAGATTTCTTACTGCTCATGCTTATATCAGTCCTAACGTTTTTAATTGTTTGCAGTTTATTTTTATATATTCAATAAATTTCCCCCATTCTATTACAAAGAGTCTATCATCTTGATCTCTTAATCTTCTGGTACGTTTTGCCATCTCTGCGTATTCCATCAGGCCATTGGTCATACTGGCAGACCCTGATGGGTGTTGGAGTTTGGAGGGCCACATGTTCCCCACAATTGCCCTTTTTAGAGATTGCTGCTGCTGCAACTGTTTCCTGGTGCAATATACGTACATTAAATATATAATGTATTAAATATTATCTATAAGCAACACAGCTACCCATGTGCTTTTCATTTCTCCCTTGAGTAAGGCCAAACCACTCTGTCTTCCTTACTCTCTTTGCATAGTGAGACCATGCAACCCTTCCCAACCCCGCTTCTAAGCCCAATGTGATTTTTGGAGTGAGGAAGGGCTTTGCTTTGCATGCTGCTCCATATGACCAATAGCCCTACTAGATCAGACCAAAGGCCCACCTAGTCCGGCATCCTGTTCTCACACTGACCAACCAAGTGCTTGCTGGAAGCCCACAGCCAGCACAAAGCAAAAGGGGTGCTTGGCCGCAGTTCGTGGCCTTTGGTTAGGGCAGGGGTCTGCAACCCGCGGCTCCGGAGCCGCATGTGGCTCTTTTACACCTTTGCCGCGGCTCCGGGGCGGATACTAGCAAGGGGAGGAGGCGCATTGTGCGCCCCGACACTCCCCACTGTGGCGGGCGCTGTACTGGCTGTGACGTCACATGGGGGCGGTGCATGCGTTAGTCACGCACCGTCCCGACATCACCTTCCCACCCGCTGTCAGATCACGGCTCCGGAGATATATTTGTTTTAAATGTCGCAATGGTTTTGCGGCTCCCAGTTGTTGTTTTCTTCGGAAACGGGTCCAAGTGGCTCTTTTTGTCTTAAAGGTTGCAGACCCCTGGGTTAGGGGCCCAACTGATGGGCATGCTGGGAAAGAAACTGGGACAGTCAAGGCGGCTGAAGGAAACCTCCAGGGAGCAAAAAACGACTAAAGTTAGCCTCAATGAGGCAGAAGGCTGATGACCAGCTTCTTCCTGTTTGCTTTTCAGGAACTGTAACTGCCCTTCCGAGTTAGGTCTTATTCCACACTCATCAGGCATTGCTGAAGGCACGGCCCCTTGTCTGCCCTATGTAGTTGACTCTGGAGCTATGGCAAACTTCAGGATGGCAGGATCTATTTAGTGCATTTTAATTTACTCAAATCCTGAGGTCTACCATCCAGTGCCTGATGCAGAAAAGAGTAGCTCAGGGGCGCAGACATATGCAGGTGGTGTTAGAAGGTGGCCTCTTGTGCTGGGCCCTAGATCACTGACCCTTCCCTCCCTGATTCTTTTTCATGGAAATTTTGCTTGCAGGGAGGCTGGGCTCATTGCAAAGCACAGTCTTGAAAGACCTACATTGGCTCCCAGTACGTTTCCGAGCACAATTCAAAGTGTTGGTGCTGACCTTTAAAGCCCTAAGCGGCCTCGGTCCAGTATATCTGAAGGAGCGTCTCCCCCCCCCCCATCGTTCTGCCCGGACACTGAGGTCCAGTTCCGAGGGCCTTCTGGCGGTTCCCTCACTGCGAGAGGCCAAGTTACAGGGAACCAGGCAGAGGGCCTTCTCGGTAGTGGCGCCTGCCCTGTGGAACGCCCTCCCATCAGATGTCAAAGCGATAAACAACTACCTGACATTCAGGGAAGTTTTTAATATGTGACATTTTTGTGTATTTTTCATCTTTGTTGGAAGCCGCCCAGAGTGGCTGGGGAAACCCAGCCAGATGGGCGGGGTACAAATAATAAATTATTATTATTATTACAACCCACCAGCTTAATTTGCCCAAAGGCCACCTTTACAGGGAAGTGGGGGCGGCATGTACCTGGTTTCCTGGCGCCATTGTTGCTGCAGGTTACTGGAAGCAGAAACAGTGAGGTGATGGAGCATTCAACACTGTGGAGATGCACCAGGTTGGCTCTGCAGGTGCATCAGCACAATGCTGACCTGCCAGGCGCTTCACGCTTCTCCCTCTCTGTAAACTGTAATGATGCTTCTGCCAGGAAGCCAGATCAGCACATACACACAATTGATCTGTGCATGTAAAGTAGCATATCCAAACACTATGCCCATTTCCACTGCAGGCCTGCACCCCAGCTCCTTTTTATTACCTAGCAACAACCCTGCATCCACTTAGAATTAAGGATCTGGGGGCTCCTGAGTGCATTTAATTAAGAAGAAAAAAATTCACTCGATTATGTTAACAAGAAAGGCAACCACAGAGAACCACCAACGCAGTATGCCTCCATCTGGAATTCCTAATTGGTGCTTATAAATATTAAGGATAGATTGTAACTTATAATTATTTGTATATTGTTGAATGGTTATTGTTGTTGGCTTATTGAGATGGTTTAAAAGAAAAGAAAAATAAAGAAGGGGGGGAATTCACTCCTGGTTTTTCCCTAAGCTCTCTACATCTGCCTACTTTTTTGGGCGGTAGAGCTAGTGCAATATAGTGCTTGGAGTGCTGGAGTAGAACCTGGGAAACAAGGGTTCAAATCCTCGCCAACCCAAGATGCTTCTCATCCTATACTACCTTGCAGGGTTGTTGTGGGAATAAATGAGGAGCGGGGAGAACCATGTCCGGCACTTTGAACTCCTTGGATAAAAAGGTGGGATCTAAGTGCAATGAAGGGACACGGGTGGCGCTGTGGGTAAAAGCCTCAGCACCTAGGGCTTGCTGATCGAAAGGTCGGCGGTTCGAATCCCCGCGGCGGGGTGCGCTCCCGTTGTTCGGTCCCAGCGCCTGCCAACCTAGCAGTTCGAAAGCACCCCCGGGTGCAAGTAGATAAATAGGGACCGCTTTCTAGCGGGAAGGTAAATGGCGTTTCCGTGTGCGGCTCTGGCTCACCAGAGCAGCGATGTCACGCTGGCCACGTGACCCGGAAGTGTCTCCGAACAGCACTGGCCCCCGGCCTCTTGAGTGAGATGGGCGCACAACCCTAGAGTCTGTCAAGACTGCCCGTACAGGCAGGGGTACCTTTACCTTTACCTTTAAGTGTAATGAAGAAGAAGAAGGAAACTTTTTAGCTACTGCTATAGTTAAATAATTGGAAATCCACATCCCTTGTGAATCTGCTGCTAATTGTACTTAGAAATCTACCGGCAGATCTTGATCTTCATTCCACCTATACCAAGGATAGCCAGGGAGGGTGTGTGTCCTGTTGACTCGTCCCATTGCTGTCTGATTCATTCTTTAGGTCATAACGCAGATGACATCGCTGAGACGGTGCTGATGAACTTCCTGCGGGGGGACGTTGGGCGCCTCCGGCGCTGCGCGGACATACTGACAGGAAGCGAGGGGCAGCTGCCGCGCTGCAAGCCGCTGAAGCACGCCTACGAGAAGGAGATTGTGCTGTACGCTTACTTCCAAGGCTTGGACTACTTCAGCACCGAGTGCGTGTACTCCCCCAACGCCTACCGCGGACACACCCGCGCCCTGCTCAAAGACCTCGAAGCCACACGGCCCAGCACGGTGGCTGACCTGGTGCACTCAGGCGAGCGGCTGGCGGTGCGCGAGGATGTCCGCATGCCCACCCAGGGCACCTGCCAGCGGTGCGGCTACCTCTCCAGCCAGCCCCTCTGCAAAGCTTGCTTACTTCTAGAAGGGCTCAATCGTGGCCTCCCTCGGCTGGGCATCGGCAAGACCAGCCGGCTGCAGAAAGCTTTGCTGGGTGGGGAGAAGCCAGAAACCAGCTTACAGGAAGAGGAAGGCCCTCGGCAGGCAAAGCGAGGCCCGAGGGCCATAGACTTCTGAGCCTGTCCCTACCCATGGTTCCCATCACCCCTGACAGTTAGCCATTCTGGCTGCAGCAGTTGTCCCAACAACAACTGGAGGGTTTTATTTAAAATCAAATTATATTCTGTATCAGGAGAGTCCAACTCCCAAGAGACTGCGATCTACTCACAGAATAAAAAACTGCCAGTGAGGTACCCCGTATTTTGTGGTTGTTGAGCTTTTTCTAGGGAGGAAAATGACAAAATTGAGTAAAGGGGAAAAGCTGCTCACCAAAAGATTGATGAGAAAACAATCTGTCAAGCAGCGAAAACTCCGTCTTCCGTTCCAACAATCATGCAAAAATAGAGGACGGGGCAAGGAGGAGGGGCCGGATGCTCTGATGCCAATGAAAAGGAGCCCGTGACCAACAGCGATCTACTAGAACCTTCCGATTAACCTGTTGGACACCCCTGTTCTATCTTATCTATTTCCTACTGGTCTAAGAGCAGGGACATTATTATTATATTTTTGGCTGAAGGCCAGGGTATAAACAAATAAACAAAATTTCCCAAAAAAATAGTATGTGCTCATGTTTCTTTAACTGTTAACGGAGTAACCGATCTCTGTGTTGATTCTGTCTGTATACTCTGGCTTTCCTGATTAAGACCAAGATGCACCTGTTTTGTAATTCTTGGTGAAAATAATGAGCAGCTACTTGCGGGCCCAATAGAAACAGGCCAATGGTTTGCCAGGGTCCGCCTTCTGGCCACTTCTCCCTTTGTACAACAGGGGTGGATGGCCTGGAAATTCGAGACACTGTTGGACTCTGACATCCCATCACTCCTGATTTATGCTCCCTGGGGCTCATGGGAGTTGGAGTCCAATGATGTCTGGAGGACCAGATTCCCTCTCCCTGAAGTACTGCTTAGGCCAGCAATGTGCCAAGCTGTAGTCCTGGTTGGTTCACCACACTAAGCAGCTGTGCATAGGACTGTTGAGTTCTTGGTTGTAGCCCCAACAGCTCCTGACCAGTAGAGAGATAGGTGGGGATAAATCGTGCAGAAAACTGAATATACCCACACCCAAGCAAGTATTCTGAGTCACAGAACTGAAGTGTAGCCCATCCTTCTGCTCCAGGCAGGAAAACCAGAGTAATACCATTCCAACAGATGGTTGTCCAAGCAGGGCCAATCAGAGAGAGGACCAGGAGGGCCATTTGGTCTGGGATCTTAAGCTCAAAGGAGTCCTCCAATTTAGACACTTGTTAGTTTTTTCTCATTTGATAAGTTTTGCAGCCTTTTTTTATGCACATTGGATCAAAATGTATTTAAGCAGAATTGGGACACACTCCACTTTTAAGAGCTTCAAATTTAATCAAATAAGAGGTGTTCTGGTAAAATACCCTTTTTTTGTTTTGTTAGCTCATAATACAGGATGCCATATTAAAGAGTTACAAATGTTATTAAGAGTTAATGTTAATAACAACCGGGGGAAAGGAAGACATAACATCTTACAAGGACAGGAAGAAGCACCACGAACAGGATACAGTGGTACCTCAAGTTAAGAACGTAATTCGTTCTGGAGGTCCGTTCTTAACCTGAAACTGTTCTTAACCTGAGGTACCACTTTAGCTAATGGGGCCTGCCACGCTGCTGCGATTTCTGTTCTCATCCTGAAGCAAAGTTCTTAACCCGAGGTACTATTTCTGGGTTAGTGAAGTCTGTAACCTGAAGCGTCTGTAACCCGAGGTACCACTGTAATTGCCATAGAACAAGGAGATAGTTTGAGTTCCTCACTTGTAGTTTTATAAATCAATTAATGTGTCAACACGAATAGAAGTTATTAATATTACAATTGTATAAGGGATTATTATTATGACCAGAATGTCATGGAAATTTAAAAAAAATTGGAACGCAGAAATAATCAAGCCATAAATTCTAGCAACTGGGGGGCCACCTTTTCTAAATTATATAATTTGGTATTTGAACTATTGGTACAGTCATGCGCAGAAGCGGCAAATCGTGACCCGCAGACGCGGGTTGCATTCTGCTCAGGATGCGAACAGGGCTCCGGAACCACTATATTAATAATTGTATTATAAATTGGTATTGTTATAATGAGGCTATTATTGGATTGCAATTGAAAACTAATGAAACTTATATTAAAAAGAAGAATTAATGTTAATAAGAATTAAGTTTTGCAAGATTAGGCCACAATGAACGTTTCTTCTCAGATCAGCTGATTATATTAACAAACTTCTTAGGCATCATCGGCAATGCACATTTAAATAACTATCATTCCACTGGAAACAATCATGGCTTTCCCCCAAAGCATTCTGGAGACTGTAGTTTGTTAAGGTTGCTGGGAGTCATTAAGAAACCCCTATTCCCCTAGAGCTGCAACTGTTAAAGAGTGAAGGAGATTATGCGTTGAAATATTTTAGTTGATATTTTAGAATGTAAAATGCTATTTTATTTATTGATTGGTTTTACCTTGTGGGCTTATAGCCGAATAAAGTATTATCTATCTATCTATCTATCTATCTATCTATCTATCTATCTATCATCTATCTTCCCTAGGAAGAGGGGTTAATTGTTAAACCGCTCTGGGAATTGTAATCTGATAGACCTTGGCTGGTCCAAAGGAGATCTTGTGAAATCCTTGCTTGTTGCCGAACAAGCTAAACCACCTGCAGCTTATTCCATAAGTGGTCGTCGCGGAAGGTTTACCGACAGCCTTGCCATGTCAGCTACATTCCACATCCACAGTGGGAACCAGTGTGCTTTTGAATGCCAGCCATTGGAAATCGCAAGTGGGGAGAATTGTGCTGTTGCGATCAGGTTCTGCATTTGGGCTTCCCACAGGCATCTGGTCGGCTAGTGTGAGAACAGAATGCTGCACTAGATGAGCCAATTGGCCTGACCTAGCAGGCTCTTTGTACGTTATTGCTGATCGGCAACTGCTATCAACTTTTCATATAACTGTGAAGTTGGAAGGGACCGCATGGGTCATCTATTCTAGACCAACCCTTACAATGCATGAATTTTTTGACTCTCTGATTAAGAGTCTCACGCTCTACTAACTGAGTTATCCCAGAGGAGAGCTGGGGTATAGGTTGCAACTGTTGGAAATGCTCCCATTTCTGCATGAGAAAAATGGTACTGAGAAGCAAAGGCAATAATGCATTTGCGCCAGGCTTTTTATTGAGGGATATCAGCCCTGGGCTGGTGCTTTTGTGTCATTTTCAGCCATGGTTTCCTCGATCCACTTCCGAAATTTGCAGATCTCCATGAAAACAGCAGGGTTTTTCTTGGATGCACACTTCACAGCTCCCGATGACACCAAACCGTGAAGGACCCCGTTGCAAATCAAGGGGCTCCCAGAATCTCCCTGTAAATTCAACAAGAGGAAAGGGGTCAGAGAGCAGGAGAACTCTTTGGTGTGGTGAGACTTCTCTAGTTCAGGGGCTGGGATCTGTGGTCCTCCGGAGATTCTCCAACTTTCATCAGCCCCAGGCAGCATGGCCAGTGGTCGGGGATGATGAGAGCTTTCGTCTAGCAAAATCTGGAGGGCTATAGATTCCACGTCCCTGCTCAAGCTGAACATTGAATCTAAAAGGTACAGAAATAGGGGGTTTCATATTGAAGCAGGTATGGCTTTCTTTAGGTTTATGGCTCTTCTTGCTTAATACTTGCTTCCTTGGGTAGTTCGGTGTCTCTCCCCCCACCCCCCCATGCCCCACCAATATCTTAATACCCTTCTGCTCACTTCCTTTTTTCTTTTTTCCTTTTAATTAGGAAGATTTAGACAAGGAGTAGGCAGAAGTTAAGACTGGGCTGTGCTGGTAGATCGCTGGATGATCTGAAGTAGATTGGCAAGGATTTCTTACTCCCAACAATGGTAACAACAAAACAACCCTAAAAAATGTACTGCTGAAAGGGAAGAATGTGATATGCAGAAATATATTTCTGTATGGAAGAACTATGAGCTCAGTCTAGTTTTGGTACTTTCTAAACAAATTCCTGGGCTCAAAATTCTTTTATTGTAAATATTTGTTTCCCTTCTACTGATGGATCTCAAGTAATAGGGATCTCAAAATTCTTTTATTGTAAATACTTGTTTCCCTTCTACTGATGGATCTCAAGTAATAAGAAGGAAAAATAAAATAGAAATAGAAGTCTGCTTGCTACTGACATTGGAGAAATCCTAACCATGTCTACTCATAAGTAAGGATATGTGACTCTGTCAGTTTTGGTTTCTCATTTCCCAATCTGCAAGTTCAGTTTTCTACATTTCCACATCAGTTTGGGGTGGGGTTTTTTTTAACTCATGAAAATTAATCAGCCTTTTAATGCAAACTTCTATTACACACATTTTTATATGGGATTTTGCTTAGTATTTTTGCAAAGCAATTTCCCCTAACATAATGCATTTGTGCATGTTCTTTTCCCTAATACATGCATCATTACACACACTTTATCTAGTATATACATTTTTGTACATATTCCATAGCTGGAGAACTGCACTGCAAAACTCTGAGAAGTGCAAATATCAGAGCAATTGTGTGTTTCAAATCAAATATTGTTTCAGAACATGCATATTAGGCAGGTTCGTATTTAGAAGTGAACTGAATCAAATGATTCTATGATTCTATTCCATCCCTACTCAGAAGTTCCACTGAACAAAGATGGACTTGGACTACAATCCTAACCCCATTTACTGGGGAATATGCTGCAATAAATTAAATAGGGCCGACTTCTGAGTAGACATGAATGATGTTTTACAGGATTCTTGCATCCTGATACTATGCGCTGACTTTTTGCTTGTGCCTTTATTGTTGCAATATGTGTGACTTGCTTAATTTTTTATTTTATTTTATTTTATGTGGTGTATAAGTTATATATGAATGGCATAGTTCAGATTGCAGGCTAAATCACAGGAAAGTTGGATTGTGCTACAATGCACTGTGCCTCTGACCCATAGTCACCAAGTGCTTGTTGCTCACCTGGCACGAGTCTTTGCCTCCTTCCATTTTTCCTGAGCAAATCGCGTTGTCTGCAAAGTAGCTTCCGTACCTAGACTTGCATATGTAATTTGGCAGGATCTCTGTGTCCAAACATTGCAGGACATTGGCATAATTTACTGCAAAATGAATGCTTGGGTCAGTGTGCGACACTGGCTGTTTGGGACTTGCTGCTTAACTATTTTAGCTTCAGGTTCCTCCCTCACAAATGCCAGAAGCTGTGGTGGTTGGTGTCCATTGCAACCGTAAGGTGGCAGGCAGGAAGACCAACTTTGCCCCCATATTCCTCTCTATTGAGTTCTGCAAGGGGCAACACTGAGACTCAGAGGAGGAAACCAACAGCCAGGGCCACCCCCAGGATTCGTCGTAAGTAATAATAATTTATTTATAATAATAGAAATTATTATTATTTATACCCCGCCCATCTGGCTGGGCTTCCCCAAAAAAATATTAAAGTACTGTAATACACCAGACATTAAAAGCTTCCCTAAACAGGGCTGCCTTCAGATGTCTTCTAAAAGTCTGGTAGTTGTTGTTCTCTTTGACATCTGGTGGGAGGGCGTTCCACAGGGAGGGCGCCACTACCGAGAAGGCCCTCTGCCTGGTTCCCTGTAACTTAGCTTCTCGCAGTGAGGGAACTGCCAGAAGGCCCTCGGCCCTGGACCTCAGAGTCCGGGTAGAACGATGGGGGTGGAGACGCTCCTTCAGTAAGGCGAGAGGTAGGTGAGGGCTTGCTTGGAGCAGAATGAGATGCCCCACTCATAGGATCATAGAACTGTAGAGTTGGAAGGGACCCTGCGGGCCATCTTCTCCAACTCCTTGCAATGTAAGAATCTCAGCTAAAGCATCCATGACAGATGGCCATCCAAACTCTGCTTAAAAGCCTTCAAGGAAGGAGAGTCCACTACTTTCATTCACCTTAATGGACTACTGGCTAGTAGATGCAATTCCCCATCCCACAACTGGAAACACATTATGGACAGAGGCAGCTGCCCTTATACTTAGGCCCATAAATCACCTAATCTAGTGGTTCCTAAAGTAGGTAGTACTGGGAGGCGGTGGGATTACCTTGCTAAGAGGCAAGGGGGCACTGGAGTGTAAAGGGCTATCAGACTTCAAAATGCTGAATCAAGTTCATCCATTTGGTTGAGTTAGTTAAACTGGATCGTTTTAACTGGATTTTGAATAGCGGTGCAGTTAATTGTTACAGTGGTACCTCGGGCTACATACGCTTCAGGTTACATACGCTTCGGGTTACAAACTCCGCTAACCCAGAAATATTACCTCGGGTTAAGAACTTTGCTTCAGGATGAGAACAGAAATCATGCTCCGGCGGCGCGGCAGCAGCAGGAGGCCCCATTAGCTAAAGTGGTGCTTCAGGTTAAGAACAGTTTCAGGTTAAGACAGACCTCCGGAACGAATTAAGTACTTAACTTGAGGTCCCACTGTACTGTCTTTTTGTTTCTCAAGCTTACGCCCCCCCCCCATTTTTTTTAGTAGTTTGCTCAGGGTTGTGAAACTGCAGGTGCTCAGGATTTAGGTGTTTTTG